CCCCCCCCCCCCCCCCCCCCGGTAAGCCACCGGGGGAAGACATACACCTTGTGCGAGAGGGGGAGCGGCGTCTGTGTCTGCTTGCCCGGGGTGTGCAAGCGATGAAATAACCACCCGTTGACTTGTCGCTGCGCGTAACGGCGAGAACGGGCCCCGCGTTCTGCTCTACTTTGTTCTGTCAGCATCTACTGCCGTTGTGTCGTTGCTCTTGGCCTAGGTTGCTAGCATCAGCATTTCATTTTGTGTAAGTTTACCCTCAAATATGTTTATTTCCTACTCCTCGTATGCTCTCGCGTACTCACGGTAGGGAGGAAGACAATGACCGGCAAATGTCATCGGGGCAGACGCCTACATCTATTTTTCGTGCCGAGTGTAGATTCGTTTGTAGACCCGTTTTCACTCATAACAAACAAATACGTGAGCCTTGTGGCTGACGTGCGTTGTTTGTCGTGTGGCGAGGGCCATGGTGGTGACGGCGATTGCATGATTGCGCTGGCTTCGCGTTCGGGTGGGGAAGCGAGAGGTGTAGCGACCGATATGCTTCGCGCCCACGATATGTGTGCGTGGGTGAGCTGCAAGTATCGGTCACCGCCATAGACGGGATCAACTCGAACCATGCGCCCCCCATGTGAACTGTAATTTTTGCCTTCGAGAGCTTTGAGTTTACGCTCAACACTGGGATGCATCCACGTAATGCACGAAGGTGGTTTCGTTTCCATTAACCCCCCCCCTGCCAGAAGTTGAGGATGCTCAAACTTTGGTGTTGGTGCACAAGTCAAGGTTTGAGAGGTTGACGCAGCAGCATTTAATACAGATATCTCGTACCCAAATGTTTTTGTGGACGATTTCGGTGATGACGGGGCCAGGTGGTCTGGGAAACGCGCTGTTCGTGGCCGGCATGCCGGGGACCGGGAAAACGGCGACGGCGCACGAGGTACGTTTTGGTCGGGGAGCGGCGGCGGCGGCGCGTGTTGACACCGACATGTTGCTGCAGAGGGGACACCCGCCGTTGCCGCTGCCGTCCCCGATCTTGTGTTGTCGATGTTGCTGGGGGTGTTGGGTGTTTTCTACTACGGCGGTGTTGGCTTCTTGGCCGGAAAGCCGTTCTGATCTCGGCCTGCTGCCGTCCGACCCAGCACTGATTAAGCCACCCGGTGTAGGAGGCGTTCTTCGTTGTACGACCCGTGTACCCGTGGCGTGCTTTTTCGGGCAGGGGGGGACCACTGCTGTCTCAGCGTTTGTTGGTGCTGCGCGTAGTGTGCACCGCACTCGGTGACGTGAGTCAATCGTTTCCGCACAAGACTCGTCGAGGTGTGTGTTGTAGGTAGGAGTTGTGCGGCAGGAACACCGCAGATTCACTCTTCGACAGCACGGCCCCAGCGACAGATCCGGCGGTCCCAACCGGCATGTCACCGATCCGATATGACCTCTTCCGCAATCCCGTATGTGTCCGGTACGGTTGGCCGGATGACCGAACTCAATCCATGGCCCGCGTTGCCACTCCCGTGCTCTCGACAACGCCGGCGGGGAGCGGCAGTGCAGCATGAAGCCAACAACTGCTGTCCCCTTCCCCGCCTCATGTGCCCGTTCCCGTCGGAAGGTGGTGAGAATCCTGAAGGGACAGCAAGCAAGAGGCCTGCTGCCGCGCTTCAAGCTGGTCGAGCTTAACGGGATGAGGCTTACAGAGCCCCACCAGGTAACACATAGTCTCTTGTTCCGCGAACTGAGAGTGAGCGGGGGGTTCAGACTTGTGAATGAGTTTCTAGAGATACGGGCGTTTTCCTCGTCGTGGTTAGCGAAAAATCCCGGGGATGAATGGAGTGCGCATCGCTCTTCGAACATGAGCACCGGTCAGTCACATCACACCTCGCACTTGTCGACAGTATTCTGTTGTGGGCACAGAGGTCGTCTTCCTCTTTCAAAATTTTTCCCAAGCTGTCAGGGTTGTCTTCTCGATTGATATATTTTCGGCGGCTTTGGTTCTGAGTTCGCGGCGTTTTTTTTTTATTTCTCCGCGCTCCCTCTCCACGCTTGGTCAGGCGTACCCCCAGCTGTGGATGGCCCTCTCCGGAGAGATGCTGTCGCCGAAGCGAGCGCTGTACAAACTGGAGAAGTACTTCTCGCGGGGCGACCCCTCGAGGGAATTCGTGGTGCTACTAGTGGACGAGCTGGACTACATGGTCAGAAATTTTGCCGCTGGGGGGGCCGGTGTAGCAGAAGCAGTGGGAGTATTGATAGGTTGGCTAGATTAGGTAGAAAGATGTTTTAGCCACGTGTGGCCAACTTGGAAGGAGCGATCGATCCTGCGGGAACAAACATCCTCCGTTCTCTCGATGACGTGTGGACTATCCGCTAAGGCATGCAACACATGGTGAGTACACCCCCCCCCCCCCCCCCCCCCCCCCCCCCCCCC